TGACCTGACATTTAATTTTTTTGAGACAGCCAGCTATGTTTAAAAGTTTTAAAAGTTTAAAATTAAGGCCTCCTTTGCTTTATCCTTCTTATCGTACCTCCCATTTCTGGAGCTTTAGAAGTAATTTCAAGTTTTCTTCTTTCCCCTCTGTGTTCAGGGTTGCACATGGTCTTTTATTGGTCTAAGTACATTGCCACAGAGGGTTTTAGTTTGTCTCACAGTATTGCAATATTTGTCCAATTGAAAATGTTGTGGAGAAAAAAAAGGAGTATCTTCTGAAGTCTAAAATTAATGAAACAACACCCAAAACCTAATAAAAGTGTTGTAAGAAGAAAATATTATAAAAAGAAACGAGCTCTGACAGAGAACAAGGAATTATGCTGACAACAGTTGTAAACACCTGTGTGACTCGTGGTCCATACTTATACATACATATACTGCATTTGGTAAGAAAGGTAATGCTGAGAGCAAGAATGAGCACAATATCCTCTAACTGTGTAAGAATGGCTTTGAAAGATTATATAGAACTTGATTAGTAGGCTGGGAAGAATGTGAGATAGTCACAGCAGCTTTAAATATAGACTGGAGCCTTAAGTTTGAGTATGCGAGGCATGAAAATGGAGTTTTGGCATGGCCACATGAAAGCTGAGAACATTCAGATCTGTCAGAAAAAGGAGAAAAAGTGACAACGAGAAAAAAAATTCAACACTGTATCTAAACCTCTGGATTAGCATTTCAAGTAAAATCACTACATTCATTCTCTTACTCTCCTTTCTGCTTTCCTAATCAGTACTAAATCACTTGGATAAATAGACCAACTTTTTAAAGAGACAGCCTTTAAGGTCTTTATGCTTTTTCATAAAGAGCAGGAGTAAGTGTTTTTTTTTGTGGGGGGAGGTTGGGTGGAGGGGGCAGAAGTTTCATCCTCTGGTCAATCACAAACTCTAATCTGTGGTGAGTTGAAGTCAGATGTTCAGACACTGGTTGGATTCACGGTCAGCATCCGGGGAAAATTCCAGAGCTCAGGGGTGTTTATTGGACCTCCTGGTCAGTGCTAAGCCCCTTTTTTTTTCACAAGAGTCTGTGTGTGTGTCTGTGTGTTTGTGTGTCTGTGTGTACATATGTAATATATAGGTAAAGCTCAACTATTATTAACAAGTTGCCTGATCTAGAATTATTCATGGAATGAGCAAGAGGGAGCCATAAACGCAACCTGTTTGTAGTCTCTATCCAGCAATCCCCATAGACTGAATCCCAGATGTTTGAGCATATCTAGGCAAAGATCATATCATATTTCCTGTTTTCTATATACTTCCCCCCGCTACCAGTCAGTGTGTTGGGTTAGATGAACTTTGTTCTGGTTCAGCAATGAATAATTGTGATGCTATATGCTCATCCATGGTTTACTGCAAGATCCTCAACACGAAAAATGAGAGAAACATCTATGCTTGTAGAGGTGAGTTGGAGTGTTGTGTGTATTGTGATTAATGACATTTATGGTGCTGTTTCCCTGCTTTGAAGAAGGTAAATTTTCTAGCTGTCATGCAGGACATTAAGGAAGAAGGAGATGAACTGGGACAGAGGAGAAGGAGCTCTCCGTCAGTGTGGAACCGCAGGGGACCTGAGCATGGGGACCAGAGCTGATGGGTTCTAGGATTAAAAATGAGTTTTCTGTTAGCAGAAAGTAAAATAAATCCCAAGGTTTCCATAGCCCAAGGGGAATATTTGGGCAGTGCTGTGTAACATTCAGTAATTAGGGTGAATGGCATTCAAATGTTTCACCTTTTCTCTGGTGAACATTTATGTGATTCAAGGTGAAGTAAATGAGGTATAGCATGAGAAATCCACAGATTTCTGCTTCAGAACATCCCAAGGGAGGAAATGTCTAGGGTAGGCTCATGGTAGTCATAATCTTGCTTCCCTCTAAAAGGAGCATTTTCCATCCTGGATTTCCCAAATCCCTGTAAGCATGGGATGTTTGCTCAAGTCTCCCCTAAAAGGATGGCTCAGCAGAGAAAGCATAGTAACAGAACCCTGCAAACCTACTTAGGCATGTAACTCCTGCATGAGGCAAGGGTTAAAGCCCTTGCTGTTTGATCTGTGTACTTTAGCACAAGGCTCCCACGCAGCACACTGGCTTTTCTGAACATGCTGCCTGGCTGTGTAGGAGGGCAGTGGCAAGGCAGTCAAACCAAAGAAAAGGAAATCTTCTACTGTTCCGATCCCCCTCCCATCTCCACTGATCCCGTGGGAAGACTATTTAGGGAGACCATCCAGCAAAACCCAAGCAACACTGCCCTCCACCCCCCTGGTTACCCACAGCTATTTGTTTTGTTGTGTTTTCCACAGGGTAGGTTTCCAGCCAGCTGGCCTCGCTCACTGGCCATGGTCCTGTGATGTGAGTGCCAGTGATGATGCTCCCTGGGACCTCAGGGAGGGGGATGGTGACAAACAAACTTGGATACTCTGAGCTAAAATATGTCCCAGCATGCCTGAGTATAAATATACAAAAGGCATCAGAATCAATAAATTATCTGCATGCTATGTACCACATGGTGATTGGCAGTGAGAATAAGGTCAGTGTTGTGGCTAGCCTTACACACTTAAACCTGAGCAGGATCCCCCCACTCCTCTGGCAGCACCATATTGCAGAAGTGACCCTTTGACTTCAGTGGAAATACTTGTATTTTCCAAGTAGGGGGAAACCCATGGGCACTGTCTGCTCCCAGTCGATCCCAGCTCGCTCTGCTGTGTCAATTCAAAGGGAGCAAATAGCTACTTCTTGTTCATGTTTACAGCAAGTTCTAGCAGTGCCTTGAGCAAAGATAAGGGAATGTGGGGGTTACAGCTCTCTAGGCCACAGAGCAGAGTCTTTGTGGGGTGAAACACTGCATGGTGGCAGAAATACTTCTCTGTATGCTCAGATAGTTGAAGTTCACACCAGCACTGAAATTCATGTGGGGAAGAGTATGCAAGAGTGGGGAAGAGTGCATAATGGGGGAAGAGTATGCAAGAGTGTCAACAGTTCTCTAAAGAAATGTTTTGTACTTTTCAGCACAAACTAGTCCCAAACTTTCCTATCCAGGAAATCATCCTCTTTCAGTTATTTGTATTGAAATGAAAAGTATTTTGCTCCTATTCACTCTCTTTTAAATGCATACGAACTCAATGCTTTCTTTCCCTTTCTCCAGACTGGAAGACACCAACCAGCCAAAGGAAAGAATGTAGTGACAGAACATGGGGAATGTCTTCCAGTTCAAAGAGTAGGTTTAGATTAGATATTAGGAAGAAATTCTTCACTTTGAGGGTGATGAAACACTGGAACAGGTTGCCCAGAGAAGCAGGGTGCCCCAGTTCCCAGAAATGTTCAAGGCAAGGTTGGATGGGGCTCTGAGCAACCTGGTCTAGTGGAAGGTGTCCCTGTCCACAGCATGGGAGTTGTAACTGGATAATTTTTAAGGTTCCTTCCAACCAAAACCATTCTATGATTGCATGAAATTCTTCATCTGATCCAATTGACTCCCAAGGGATGCACACAGCTCTGCTGTTAGTACAGCACTGTGGCAAAAGAAGCAAATCTGCCCACAGAGCCCACTGCATAAACAGCTTTAACCAATTTTGCAGCCCAGCTTAGCCCTTTAAAAATATTTGGGGGGGGTGATGTCAGCACCTGGATTGCCAATGCACTTGTTGGTCTCCACCCTCAGCCTACTTTAGTTCCCACACAGGGACAGAGTATCCAGACTGAGTGGGAGATAGGCAGAAGCTTGGAGGGAAAAATTATCTGCAGTGACCCAAAGTCCAGAGGCAGAACCACTGGGCTCCATTTACCTCCTCAAGGTAAAAGAACTGGCTTACTTATTAGGTCAGATTTTCTCATGTGCAAGGACATAGAAGACTGGCAAAACAACTTGAAAATGTAGGAATTCGTTAACTGCATGCACTAGGCTTTTAATATTTAATCTGCAAACTAAAATAACTTCAATTGAAACTCTCTGTCTTCATGCTGGTATGGTCCCAAGACTTCTCATTTGCACCAGAGATGTTACAGCCTAATCTGGTTGTGTAGCTTAAATTCTTTGTCTAGACTTAACGTTTCATTTGTTTAAGGGTTCTTATTATATTTACATGGTATGCAGAGATTAGTGCATGATATTTCTGATAAAGTATTCTCTTTTCTCTGCATGAACTCCAAAATCATATAAAATTTAAAAATTGCTGTCATAAAGTAAATAAAAGCAATAACCAACAGAAAAGTTTATGAGTACAACTCGAATGGGATTTTTGAAATATGAGACTTTTAGCATTTTTCAATTCAATTTTTCCTTGAAATTTCAGGAGAGGCAGAAGTTTATTGAGAAAATACTATTTCATCTGTGGAAATGACTCACAAAATATGTGAAGTTCTTCAGAAATTAAAATGTCTAACCTTAGTTTCTCCTTTTAGTACTTTTAGTAGTAGCAAATAATTCACATTTATTAATCTTCTTCTATAAAATAATAGTTTGCACTTAATTTTTTAAAAACAATACACCTACAAATATAGGAATTTAAAAACTCTTAACAGTAGTCTATTTACGATGTATACTTGTTGAAATGGGTCTTGGGCATTATTTATTTGAAAACACTTGCAGAAAGCAGCATTGATTTACACAGACTGCTCACCCCTGTGTACTCTATTTTGGGGTGACACTGGGAAGGTCCTTGCTGGAAATCAAAGAAGGTGATAAGCTGCCAAAGATGGCTTTTACTTCTTAGCACCCCAGTGCTTACTGACTCCTGGCCACTGAAACAACATTTATTTAGACTGACATAAAAAACTCTACGGAATCTGCCACCTTCATGCATCTGTCCTTTACGTATTTTTCTTTTTCTTTTTTTTTTTTTTTTAAGAGCCTGTGACCTGAAGGTTGAACTCAAGGACACATCCAAGCAAGTCACTGGAGTTTTGCCTTTGCTCTGCCTGCTGACCTCTGCTCTCTCCTCATTACTCCCAAAAAATGGAACTTTCCACACGAGAAATTTGCCTCAACTTCATGGTTGTCCTGGTTACTGTAATCCTCATGTGGCTCCTTGTGAAGTCCTATCAGGATTGAAAGACTCTCAGAAACCCTGGAGGTGATTTCAGTGGCAGACATCAGTGGCACCCACAGCATGCCACATCAATTAGCTTTCAGTCAATTGAAGATGTTATGAATCTTTATTTTTCACTCTCTCCTATCTGTTGCCTGTGCTAATGTTTGTAATGGGTCTGTGATGGTGTAATTCTTTCAGTCTGCAGTGATCCAGCTGTAAAGTGTAAGATGCTTAGGAACAGCTTGATGTGGCTGTCTCCTCTGTGCTAGTTTCTGTGAGTGCTGTACTCCCAGCCCACCATGCTGGCTTGTTTGGCATCAGTGTTGGGTTCTGGAGGGTGTAAAATTGCAATATGTAATGTAAGAGCCTGTATTATCCAATGTAAAAGGCGTAAACTTGCTTAGAGAAAAGGAATGTGAAACCTCTGCTTCCACTTGCACATTTTGTTTAAATAAAGACCACGTAAAACCATTTTTTGGAGCATTCCTTATCCCTCTCCTGACCTGAGCCAATAATAGCTGTGGTACAGTGTGATATGAAAGTGGGGTGGTTTGCTTGTTCCTCCAACTTACATTTCAATTTGTATTTTTTAAAAAGTGCTGTAGAATGGAAACCCTGCAGCATAACAGACATGTAACCACATATATGACCTGTTTGGAAGATTTTCTGTCCAGAGAGACTTACACCCTTAGTGCCTGTGGACACAGACTTCAAAGAGAGCCTTTGTCCCACTGGGACATCGTCAATAATCGCGTTTTCTGACGCTCGATTTTGGGCAGGGATTCCCACAGTTTTATTTTGGGCCAAGCTATTTTTGGAGCAGTGCCTGCAGGGATGAGCCTGGCCAATTGCAGGCGTAGGTTCCTGCTGGCACCCCAGCCCAGCCATGAGCCTTGCCCAGAGCAGCATTCCCAGTGGGACACGCCAGGTGTCACGGCACAGCCGTGGCCAGCCTCAGGAGGCTGAGGTGTGACTGTGTCTGGGTTGCTGTCACGGTGTCGTCGCCTGCTAAAGCATCTTGAGCCAGCTTGAAGAGCCCACAGTTCCTGGGCTTGTGAAATCAGTAATCAAACTCCTCCCAGGAATTCCCCATCTGTCATTTTAATGGCTTCAGAGAATCAGCATCCTCTACAAAGTAGAGCTTCCTGTAGGAAGGCAGTTTAGTATGTGCCATGATGCTGATACATGTCTCTTTCCCTTCCAGGAGCCTGGAAGGAGCAGGGCTGTGCTGGGCTACCCAGGTCTTTGATGGTGAGGCAGAGCTGGCCCTCACAGGTGGGATTTGGGCCTGGGTTTTGGGAAAATAGCAAATATTCTGTTAGAACCACTTATTAAGGGTTTGTGTTGCTTCAAGTTTGCTAATAAATGAGCCCTTGCTCTGTGTCATTTGTACTGTCTGTCTGGGCCTGCAGTCTTGCAGTTTGTGCCTCTCACTCTCCCAGTCAAGGAATCCCTGCTGCAGTGCAATGCTAAAAAGCCACCTCTTCTTTATTCTTGACTGCAAATGAGCAAACTTGCCTCCAGAACTTCCGGGGATGGCAAATTTTCAGAAAAAAAAAAGCGCTGAGACATTGAAATGAACTTCTGTCAGCAATGGACACAGCCTTTCTCTGCAGCCCACCTTGCACCAGATGCTGCTCTTTTATCGGTATTGCACATGGGCTGTTTGTGTTCAAAAGCTTGTCTGAGACCTGCAAGCAATGGCTAGAGAAGGACATGGAAAATCTATTTATAAAAACTGTGAATACTTGATAATTCAGTATGAAAGATGAGAATCTTTCACTGGCTGTAACTCCCAGAAGAGAGCAATACCATGGGCTCATCCCAGTCTAGCAAATAAAAAAAACAGAGTTGTAGTCTTCACTGTCTGAACCAGCAGTGGTTCAGAAACACTTCAAGGTGATCCTAGCAGTTTTCAGTGTGCAATGAGAACTGAATTCACAGAATGGCTTGGTTTGCAAGGGACCTTAAAGTTCATCTAGTTCCAGCTCCCTCTGCCAAGGGCAGGGACACCGTCCACTAGACCACTCCTTCACTTTAGATCCATCCTCCTTGTCCTATCACTACATGCCCTTGGTAGAATGTTCCTCTCCAGCTCTCCTGCAGACCCCTTTAGGTACTGGAAGGCTGTAGAAGGCATTCCCAAAGCCTTCTCTTCTCCAGGCTGAACAGCTCTCTAGGCTGGTCTTCATAGAAGAGGTACTCCAGGCTGCTGATCGTCTTTGTAGCTCCTCTGTACCAACTCCAGCAGGTCCCTGTCCTCCCTGTGCTGGTGCCCCAGGGCTGATGCAGCCCTGCAGGTGGGCTCTGAGCAGAGCAGAGGGGCAGAATCCCCTCCCTGGCCCTGCTGGTCACCACTGGATGCAGCCCAGGACATGTTTGGCTTTCTGAGATGTGAGTGCTTGGTTGTGTTCAGTTCTCATTATCTGATGTCCCCAAGTCGTTCTCCTCAGGGCTGCTGTCAATCCATTCTCTACCCAGCCTGTATTTGTGCTGAAAGATGCTAAGAAAATATTCTGGAGAGTTTGGGCCATCCACAACTTTTAGTCAGCAATCTTTTTCAGAGTCACCATGCATCTGACTTTGACAATATGATTAAAGTAAATCACCTCGAACAAGTTCCTAAAAGTGAGAATACCAGCCTAAATGGTTCTCTTTTCAGGCATTTCTAGGTTTCAAGAAAATTTCGAATGAGATAAATTACTTGCCTAGGTCATTTGCCTGAAACTGAGGAAAAAGACAATTCAACATTTAGTGCCAGATGCTGTGAAGAGACAGCATTTTGTAGGTGTACAGGCGCATTAATATCAAAGAACTTCAACCAAATACAGATATGTAAATACAAAATTTCCTAGTTTGAGGGACCTTAATGTAGGTGTTTGGTGTGACCCTTAAGGTTCAAACTCTGTCCATTACCTTCTTGCTCACCAAAGAATCCCTGGATGAGAGATGGCTTTTGGAGATGCATGTTGTCATGATTTTCTATCCTTCTGCAGTATAAAGGAGATGGAGAACATCAGAGGACTTCTGGGCTAACAGTGATTTGTCTTAGTTTATCGGTCAAATTATTTTAGGCAAAATTTTCATTAGAACAATACTTTTCATTATTCAAAATGTTCATTGGGACAATACTTTAGTGTAAGGGCTCTAGCCCCTGTAGCCTCCCTGGATAAAGTGTTCCAGTGCTTGACTGTCCTCACAGGAAAAAAGAGTTTCCTTATGTTTAAATGTGTTTCCTGCTGTTGAGTTAGTTCCCATTTCCTCTTGTCTCGCTGTTGGGGACCACTGAGAAGGGTCTGGCCCTGTCTTGTTCATTCTCACCCACCAGGTGTTTACATACACTGAGAAGACCCCTCTAAGCCGTGTCCAGGCTGAACAGTCCCAGCTACTTTAGCCTTTTTTCATCAGATGCTTCCTCATCTTCATGACCCTTTGCTTTGACCCTCTGCATGTCTCTCTTGTACTGGAAAGTCCAGCTCTGGACACAGCATTCCAGATGTGCCTCCAGCACTGAGCAGAAAAGAAGGATCACCTCCCTCAGTCTACTGCCAATGTTCTGCCTGGTGCAGCCCAGGAGGCTCTTTGGCTTCTACTGCAAGGACCCATTTTTGGTTCATGGTTCATGGTTCATGGTGTACCCAGTGAGCCTCAGGTCCTCTGCAGAGCAGCTTTCCAGCTGCTTGGCCCCTCCTGTGCATTTGTATGTCAGCATTTGGCAGTTTTACACAGCATGCCCAGGACATCAATGCAGCACAGTTCTCGCCCGTGAGGAGGATTGCCCAGGTGACACTTTACTACCCTGTTATAGATGGATAATGAGATGATTGGCTCTTGCAATTAAAAGATGACTATTGTGTGAATATTAAGAAAAGCTTTAGTGATGTATAATTAAGTTATTGTAGTTTAGATGTCCTCTGTTCTCCCCATAGTTCCTTTCCCCCCCTGTATTGTGACCATCAGACAGCCTGGGTTGTCTAGGACAGGTAAAAAGAAGGCTGCACATGTGCTCCTTGCATGGGGAAGTTGGGAATGGGAAAAGCTTGGTGCTTAGGGGGTGCAGCATGGCAACACCTGACCTCCAACCAAGTTACAAGAAAATGGTTTCCACCAATAAATGGCAAAGAAGAGCTGACTGACAGACTTTGGGAGGGGCCAGGGCTGGCTGATGCAACCCCCAGGGGTATGAAGGACTGAGCATCCATCTTGAACCTGAACTGGCCATGTGGTATGCACAAGGGCAGTTCCCAGCGCTGCAGCTTTTTCCTTATGTAGTCCTTTGTTGTATTTTTGTCAAGGTTTAATAAACCTTTTTAAATTTTCAAAGTGAGCAGTTGTTTCTCACATACCCCATCCCTCTGCCATCCCACCTCCTTTGCTAAAGGCACTCTGTGCAGCAGGAGCAGCTTATGATGAGCAAAACAGTGATTGCTTAGGACTGACCTGACTCAAACGAGGTAATTTTTACTCTGCCACCTAAGCATGGATGAATTAGCCACAGACAGAGCCAGAAGTTCAGCAGCAATCTCTCCATTCCCTTTACTGGGCTTTAGATCAGACAGTAGCTACCTAATTCTAGATGTTCAGATTTCAGGAGCTTGAGTCTAGGCCTGGTCATGTGGAATTGCTAAGCCTTAAGTACCTCATTCCAGAGAAGCTCAAGACATAGGATGTTCAGCATGCTTTTGGGAAAAATCAGACTGCTAGTTTATGGGCCTGCATACCAACCTAGAACAAATTTAGGCACCAAGATTTGAAACTTTGGCTAATCATTAGAAAATTGTTTAGTGGGGTCTACCAGAATGCTTTTACCAGTCCAGTATGTTGTCAGTTGAAACCAGTTTCTCTATTTTTTTTTTCAAGAAAATTGTCTTTATCAAGGAAAAATAAAATTTGTCAAAGTCAAATGTCATGTATGAAAACCAACTGTGTCCATTTTGCTTTTGAATGATGTGTCAAAGCTTCTGTAGGCTATGTGACCTGTGCCCCCTTCTCCTTCATTGCCCAGGCTCCAGGCCAGGCA